ATTTATTTAATAAAAATACAAAAATATAAATATACATATATAAAAATATCATGATGAATCAACACACAGACATTCTTTAACTCAATAAATATGGCAGTAATATTAATCTTTTTTAAAGTATATTTTTGAGATTATGTTACAATAAGGGTGCACTCTGTCCCAGCTAGTAGGAAAGGTAATGCAAAACAATTAAAAAAAATTGAGTTTCCATCTTGTTATTAAAGGCACAAAAAGCCTTTTATTGTCTTTTCATTGTCAATGAAAACCTTTCATCAGAGGTTTCTAGGCAGAGAGGTTGAATTATAGATTTTTTTAAATCTAAATCATTCATATTCATTCACGCTGACTTATTGATTAAGCAAACCCTTACTAAGACAACACCTATTTTTTGTAAATTTTTTATTCCCAAGTAAGAGAGAGTAGGCCACTTTATCTAGTAATATAGACATGAATTCCACTTACACTGACCAGGTCACAGATTATTTTCTCAGTCTCGATCACTGTCCTCTCCACCATACATATCTGCTAGTTTTTTAAACGGAGGTCCCCAGTCACTGAGGTAATCATAGTCTTGGTTGCCCTCTGTGGTAAGCGATTCCAGGGAGCTGAGTGAATTTGCTATGGAATCATTTCCTTCATAGGCGTATGTTGCTAGTGAATCATAAGGAGGGGCAGCTGGGTCTAAATCATTTTCCTTTAACTTTCTATGAATGAAATCTTGGACATCAATGTTTTCCCAAAGAGGTGCAGTCCGTCTTATCTGAAATATAGCTTCTGGGATAACATCTCTTCTCATCTTACTTTCCTCCCTTGCTTCAGGATTTCTCAGTGTGCCAATGTCAAAAGCCTGTGTGTCTTCTTCCCCACCTCCTTCATCATTGTAGGTCACAATGTTGTCCCGAACATCATCCTTTGAGATGATCAAGGGTTCTTTCTTCCTCTGTCTCTTGAGAGCCGTAAACAAGACAACTAATACTGAAAGGAAACAAAGGATGAATGAAGAAATGGGTAGTTAGAAATTAAATAAATGAGCAAATATTTTACATTATCTGTTGAACTGGAAAAGTTTTAAGGCTGGGATGGGATTTTTAGTGGGAAAATAGTGATAAAAGCTATCTCCAAGTTGAAGTTAATAAGGAAAAATATTAATGATTTTATAGCAGTCAAAACTTATGCTTTTTTTAAACCTATGGGAGCAATGATTGAAATATTATAGATTTGAAATAAATATGCAATTAAGCTGAAATTCAAAAGCAGACAATGTCTTAAAATATATCATTCTACTAGGGTTTGATTTTGATATTAGTTTTGTGAAGTACCGCCTTCCTGGCAGTCACTAAGGGTAATTTCATCAAATGTAGTTGAATCTCCTTGGCAAAAGTAATTCACACTCTTGAAAGCTAGTGATTTAGGTATTCCTAAGTGCCTGCTTCACTTTTGAAAATGGGATCTACAGGTCTTTCTCAAAATAAGAACCTGAAGACCTTCAGCTATCAATATTATTGACAAAACTATTTTTGGCTTTAATGACTGCAGGAATTGAAATCCAATCTTTGCTACTAAATGTTTCTTTTTAAAAACATGATCCCCTTAGTTTAAGAAATGTTAGTTGAATAACTCTTTCTTTTGGAGAGGTAAGGATTGACACAAACATTAACCTCTACAGAGAGAGATGAAAAACTGAAGTTAGATTTGTAAATATGTTCCAGTGCCTAAATGATAATGATTTCAGTAGGAATTCAATGCTTAAATGTATTTAAAAATCTGACCCTAGCTCCAGTAGGTGGAGTAAATATGAGAGGCTGGTGAGATCATCTGAAAATGAGGCATAACAGTGGTTGCCAAACCACACATTACAGCAGTGCTGAGCACTTTTGTTGAGTCTTAGGAGCAAAGTTTTTACTCTGAATGACTTGAGTACTTGTGAATAAAAGGGAAGATTGGACATGCTGCCAGTAGGGAGAGGGAAACCGAGATCTTCCACATGCCATGGTGCAATGCTGTGAATGTAAAGCCGTTCTATTCTGGATTTTTTTGTGGTTTTGCATCTGTACAGGAGCCATTCAAGTTTTCCTAATGCTAGACAAGTAACAGCCTTCTTAAGTAAATTTAAGAACTTCATATGCAAGAGTAGGGCAGATCTCTAAAAGGTTATTATGAAGAAGTGTCTTTCACAGCTGGGTACTTAATATGTCTCTCCTATTTTGGGCATGATGACACCAGTCTACTATCCTAACACACTACATCTTGTTGAATGATTAAATAAAGTACTGAGAACAACACCAGCTGTAGACTAACAATTCTGTTTAGATGCTCTTCAGTCTTATGCTACTCTGGCTTCAGTTATGTCTGTAGCACTAAGTAGAGCAGGGTCTCTGACCTTGGGGCCAAGAGACACAAAGTGGTCACACTTGTTTTACACAGCACTGGTCCCTGAACCTGTTCTGAGCCTCACATGCTATCGCTGTGGTCCTAAGGTATGTTTTGATTTTTATTTTTAGTTTAATGTTTCTGTACTAAAGCATTGCAACCGATCAGAGTGATGTTTTCATAGTGGGCGAGTAAGGGTGTGTGTTTCACGGTACACATTTCATGCTCTATGTTGGGGCATGAAGGGTGGCTTTGAAGACGCAGAGCCTGTTGAAATGGTGAATTATGCGAGGTGGAGAACCAGATCTGGCAGAGTTTGAACCATGAATGTCTCCTGGAAGTGCTGCCCTGCAAGTTCTGCTGCTCAGACTATGCCTGGGCAACATCCTGGGGAATCCAAGCTGGCTCATGCTGAAACCAGGCCAGTGGTGATGCTTGAACGTAAGCAGTATGGACAATCAGTTTGTCAGAGCTCAGGTACCCTCCCTTCCCTATGCCCAACAGTACAGATATAGTTCCTACATATTGCCCTGCTCCTAACAACCTCTGTGGTCCTCTGAATATTTACTGGAGTTATCTTGAATCCAGTCTAAAAACTGAAAAAAAAGAGTGATCTCCTTGGAATTATATAAACTGACACCTGTAAGCTTGTCACTGCCCTCTTGGCAAGCTGGGTTTGCTGGGACAGGTGGAAAGGGAAAG